ATCAGTTGCACATTGAAAAACTAATAAAAATTAAAGATTATTAAATTCTACAGAAAACATCAGTATAGATGGATAGGTGTATATCTTGCATACAGTCAGTTGCTTGAAGCTGTGGCTATTCTGGGTATCTCTCAATTTCCCTTCATAACAACTGGAAAAATGTTTTCCCCAATTAAAATAAAAACTTGGAATCATTGAGCTAAGGCAGAAACAAAATATATCTCACATTTAATGCATTCTTCTACCCACTGTATCCCATTCATCCAGCTTAAAATGTTGGTGCTCTGCCATCTGATATTCCAGTGCACTACAGCATAATCTCTCCCTCTGTAGTTTTGTCCATTTCCAGACTGTAAGTCACACCATGAACTACACTGCAGTTATTTCTGGCCCGAAATAGACTTCTAAAAGCATCTCAGTACCTAATGCTTTTCTTTGACATTTTTTGAGTTTCTGAAAAGTAGGTTAATGTAAAGCACTACAGCAAATCATGGCTTGCTCCATTTTTCATAGGGTTCAAGCTGTTGATGCTGTTCTCAAAGTTCTTGAATATTTTAGCACTTCTGTCTCCTTCACCTTCACAGAAAGAACAGGTCATCAGGAGCTTCAGCAGGCAAGAGTCTAGCAAAATGGCAAAAAGAAATAGGGCAATAATCTTACCAGACATCAAGACATCATAGTTGGTATTTATATCAGAATACATAAAGAAGCTTGAAGCTTTTTTTTTTTTAACTGAAAATAGCGTTAAAGGAACATCAGAGACAAAAGTTTTCTTCTTGCTCAGACAGCTTCTTAAGACTTCCCTTTGTCAAAGAACTATGAAATTGCACCATCTACCTACTCTCACTGTGTAGAGCTGCAGAACATCACAGAAACACCATAGGATGTTATTCCCTTGGAGCACTCTAAGCTTAGGATTACCCATTCTCAAGCTCCTCCTTTCTACCTTCACTGCAGCCCAGCTATAATCATGCATTTTGCTAAAATGTCCCATCACCATCACTAACCATTTAGAAATAAGGACCACTGCTTTCTAGAAAGATTTGAGACAGCACACCATCTCTTTCCATGACTTTTCTTGTTTTAACACTGAAACCATGAAGTATTTCACTCTTTCTACTCTTGCAGCACTGCCCCTCTGGAGTTTTCCACTTTTTTCTCCAGGCTTTTCCCTGATACATTCTGGTTAATTCTTTCTGCCCACTCTCCACAGAAATAAAAGCACTGTGGAAGGCCTTTCTTCTCTGCTCTCCCCTCCTTTTCACTCCAGACCAAGTCTTTGATAGGTAAGATCAAGCATATGAGGAGAACAGTCTCCTAAAATTGGGTGGAATGGGATCAGTTAATATTCTTACCTTCCCTTTTGTTTTGAGTGGGAGTCATAGAATCATAGAATGGTTTGGGTTGGAAAGGACCTTTAGATCATCTAGTACCAACCCCTCTGCCAAGAGCAGGGTCACTTCACACTAAACTTGGCCTTGAACACCGCCAGGGTTGGAGCATTCACAACTTCCTTGGGCAACCCATTCCAGTGCCTCACCACCCTCACTGTGAAGAACTCCTTCCTTACATCTAACCCAAACTTCCCCTGTTTAAGTTTGAACCCATTACCCCTTGTCCTATCAGTCCAAGCCCTAATGAAGAGTCCCTCCCCAGCAGCCTTGTAGGCCCCCTTCAGATACTGGAAGGCTGCTATAAGGTCTCCACGCAGCCTTCTCTTCTCCAGCCCCAACTTTCTCAGCCTGTCTTCATACGGGAGGTGCTCCAGCCCCCTTATCATCCTCGTGGCCCTCCTCTGGACTTGCTCCAACAGCTCCATGTACTTTTTACGTTGAGGACAGCAGAACTGGACACAATGCTCCAAGTGAGGTCTCACGAGAGCAGAGTAGAGGGGCAGGATCACCTCCTTCCACCTGCTGGTTGCGCTTCTTTTGATGCAGCCCAGGACACGGTTGGTTTCTGGGCTGCAAGCGCACACTGAAACCAGCTCATGTCAAGCTTCTCAACAACCAACAACCCCAAGTCCTTCTCCGCAGGACTGCTCTGAATCTCTTCATCCAACCTGTAGCTGTGCCTGGGATTGCCCTGACCCAGGTGTAGGACCTTGCACTTGGCTTGGTTAAACCTCGTAAGGACTCTTCCCCACACGCTGAGTCTTCTTTCCTCATGTCTTCTAATGTGGCATAGATATTTCTTCTGTAGGTTTGCTTTGATGTTGTCCTCTACCACTAAACTACTAAAGCTAAGCCTAAGTTAAGGAGGATGTAGGACAGACTGGGTATTGAAACATCAGGGTAACATTTCCTCTCTTGAGGCATCCCACATGAATGCACAAGATCAGGTTTAGCACTTAGCCCACTGGAGTAGTAGCACTGAATCTTGACTACTGCCATCCAGAAGCAGTCAAATGCAGCAACCAAAGGCAACTTCTGAGGCAGCAGCAGTATCATTAAGAATGATCCCACATTACAGAGGAGGAAAGGAAGGTGTCTTTAAAGTTACTAGCATTGTAATACCTTTTCAATTTTAGATCTACGTTTTTCCTACAACAGCTTAACAACTTTTATTTCTGCAATGTAGCTCCACTATGAAACTTAGTGCTCCTCACAGATTATTTTTTTTTTCCCCTGCTTATATTCTCACTGGAGATCCTTTCTTCCTATTGTTTTTAGCACACGTTCCTCTTAGAGATAAAGTTTACTGACTTCAGACACATACCCTCCCAAACATCCACAACATCAAAATTTGATTACATTGGATAATTTGTTTCAGGTTCTTTGGCACCACTGAAAGAGTTAGAAACAAATTATGTTATCCATTAACAATTCTTTGCTTAGTCTGTTATAAATGGTATTGTATACGAGTATTTCCCATATGCTATGAGAGCTGCAAATGCGTATGAGTTAAGCAAACAGTATTACCATGTGTAAGCACCTTCACAGGCAAATCACCAAAGAGATGAAGTGCCAACACATTTTATGTTTGAACTTTGCTAGATACTTATCTATCTCTCTATTAGCTATTCAATTAAGACACAGGATGACTTTAGAAACATGCACAAAATATTAGTAACTGCATGCCCCATTTTCCTAAAACGGAATAACAAACCTAGGCATCTATTTCACAAATGTCCAAGATCTTCACTTTAAAGTTGTTTTTAAATGATGTCTGGTCTAGAGGTGTATTTTTTAAATGTCCTGTTTCTCCTACACAGCAAAAGATTCCACAACAACACGTACTTATACCACCCTTTTTATTTTTCAGCCAGAAATACAGTTTCATAGGGTATTTCAATAAACATTGGTGTTTATTCCTTAAAGAAAATCCCCATCTCTTTGGCATCTGACCATAATCTGTTTTTCAAACTAAAGACTATATAAGAAGATTTTACTTTCAATATCATTGTTCAATACATTAAGTTTACACTGGTGTAGCTAGCTTTTAAAAATACACATCTGTTTGTTGCAATGATTCTAATAAACCTAAAAAAAAGATAACCAAACCAGCAAAATGCAGATTGCTGGGCTGCCTTCATTTACCAACTGTGGAGTGACAGAATGAGAACTCCACAGTGCATGCACTAAGTAGTGCTTTCTATTCATTCTGAACAACAAACAAACAAACAAATATTAATTCTACCAGAAACAATTAATCAAATAATTTATGTTTCCAACAATGTGATCTTATTTTTAAACTACCTCTGCAGAGGTCATCAGCCAAAAGTTGCACACTGATTCAAGTAAAAGATTGCACCTAGAATTAAAACCCCTCTAAAATCTATAGTTCCTTTTTAAAATTAGTAAGATGTTTTAAATACATCTAGGAATACAGCTGCCGAACTGCATTTTACATCATGATTGGATAAAAAATTCTTAAGTAACAAAAGTAAGACAGTGTATTCAATCTACTCTGTTGAATAATCCAGGATTATCTCTTCAATGCTAACCTGCGCTGCATCAAAAAAAAAAAAAGTAAATCAAAATCGGCTTTCCAGATCTCAAGTGTTCAGTGCTTCAAATCAACTGTACTTCCAAAACAATGCTGAAGTTGTTTGACACCTCCTGTTACTACACATGATACTGAAATCACAGTTTAAAAATCAAAACCATTACTGACATACCAAAGCAGACATTCCAGTTTAATTACTGGAATCTGCAGTAAATCATTTTTGTGCCAAGACAATGTAAAAAATAAATCCCATTTATAAAAAAAGAATCTTCATTCTCCAAAAGATTTGATTTTAATGACCCAAATACTTATCCTGAACAAGTTTTATAGAACAGAAGATCCAAAGCAATTACTCACACGCAGAAACTAAAAAAAAAAAAAAAAAAAAAAAAATTGTTTAATAGGATTCAAGTAGCAAAGGTTTGCTTTGTGTTACTCTCACCCTCATCACCACTGTAAGTACAGTCTGAAAATGTTTGAACTCAACTGTTTAAACATAAGTGATCTTATTCAACCAAGCTCACTTTCCTCTCCATGATATAAAAAGAAAAAAATAAATACATATGTTTTACTGTAGAATACAGGAACAGAAAGTCAAACCAAAAAACCTCCTAGACTTAAGCACTTTTCCAAGAGCAGTTTCTAACATCAAGCCAAAATTAGCAACAACCAAGCAGACATCACCATTTTTTCAGTGTGAAATTACTGGAAATACTAGCTCTAACTGTACAAAAAAAAACCTATCCCAAAGCCCAAAATCAAAAGGTGGGGGTTTTTTTTTTGTTTTTTTTTTGTTAAAAGGTGTTCAAAGAAATATCCATCAGTTGAAGTCAAATTTGCATCAGAAGCTGCTTGCTTAAGAAAGATTTCTCCCTCCACATATTTTTAAACACATTGCATTGCCAAGATTCTATTCAAATAAATTACTTTCTGATAACATTTAGCTGATACAACCACCTACAATGTGGACAGTCATGTACACAGTACAATACTGGATTTTTGCAGCAACAGAAATAATCAGAAATTGGTTCTAAATTCAAGTTGATGATAGCTCATGTGCTATTTCTTGCAAACATACGGTCCCCTCTGAGGGTGAGGTGTTGGAGCTGGTATTGTAGCACTTCCGTGTCAGCAGGTTCCTTAATGCTCATTTTGTCTAAATTGAGGTAGTCCAGGGATTTCGAATGAGCCCTTTTACCTTTTAAAAGGCAAAGAGGCAGGGGACCATGAAGTGCTTTGTAAGGTTCATATGGTAAAGCCTTAGTGCATTTATCCCCTGAGCTCGGCATCCTTCTCCTCCTCCTTCCATTTACTGCTGGGATCTCATATGGCTGATAGTACCTACTTCTAGTTTTGTACAAACGGGAGGAACGTGTAAGTCCTGAATCAAGCTGTTTGGAGCGCAAGTTCGGCCCAGATTCCCCTTTATTCTCTTCACTTCCTGTACACTTCTGGGCTAATTTTAGCAGCTCCTCTCCAGTTGTGAAGCCAACCAGGTAGTTAGAATCCATGTGCAGGATCTGATACCCTGCAACTGTCCGTCGCATTGGTGAGCAGGGGGTACTTGAACAGCGGGGCTTCTCTGCTTCCATCCTGCCTGCAGGAGTCACCTCTGCAAGAGGCACAGGGAGGGTGGATATGGTAGTTCTGGACTCTCCATTTATGTCAACTTCCATTTTAAACACAATGCTATCCTCCTAAAAATAAAGCAGATCTTGATCAGAAACAGAGATTTTATGCAACACAAGGACTTGAGCGAGGACTGCAGAAATGAGATTTTGTATCACCCAGAAGTTATGACTGGTACTTCTCTATCCAGCCTTCCCTTATGTTCTACAGGTTGATAACAAAATTGACAACAGCCTTTTATCTTGGGTGTTTTTTTCATAAAAGAAACCATAAATATGTTCCTGATATTCCCAAGCATTAAAATTGTTCTTGAGTAGTACTGTACACAAAAAAGAAGCTTCTTTCCAGTCCACTTGATTCCTTACAGCCCCTCACTTCTGAGGCCATCTACATCCATTAGCACATCCACAGCAATTTATCCCCTATTCAATTGTGTATTTTTTCTATCGACAATAGTCTCAGTAAACAGAGCTTTTAATAAATGTGTCTAAAAGCTACTGCCTCAGTCAGGCACAACCACAGACCAGACCTGATGCTTCCCTCTTACAGATGTGAAGACAGCTTGCTTTAGGTTCCAAGAATGGCAACCTGGCTATTCAACAGCTGTCCTTATAGGTCATAAGTAAAATCCCCTTTCCCCCATCCTATTTTTTTATTTAAAATCAACCAAATGCATGCAGACTATTTTATTCTAATGTACTTCTAACAAAGGAAACAGTATACTGGTGGTGTTTAAAGAACAGAGCATAATATTCTTAAAAACATTTTAAGAATAACCAGTCTTTTGAATTCTATGGTTTTCTATTTCTTTTGGAAACAGACTATTTTGCCCTGACCTCACAACTTTGTACTTCCTCACAACTATTCCACATACATTGTTTTGTGCCTTTACAGATACAACTGTCTGCCACAAACCATTATCACCTCTAAATGGGAAAGGTAAGGTTACTATCACAGTATACACCAGTGGATGCCAGAACACAGACAAGGCTTAATTATTTTCATTTCCTTGTTTTCAGCATCATCTATACCATCTTGGTGACACAACTACATTACAAAAGTCATGGAGCGAGGTCATCACAGATAGAGTAGGGTCATCATAGATAGGTAGAGTGGGGCTATCATAGGATGGTCTGTGTTGGAAGAGACATTGAAGCTCATCTAGTTCCAAACACGAAACACAAAACCAACAATTACCTGCCACAGCAAGGAAAGGGAGGGAGGAAGAGATGCCTTCATGCACCTTACGAGTTAAAAAAGCCTTGAGAACTTTAAATATAAAGACTTTTCTCAGAACACAGGGCTCTTCTCAGAAAACAGCTTTTAAAATTAATTTACTTCCATTTGAAGTGTGTATGTGCCCTGATAACAAAAAGCAATCAACTTTGAAGATTAACTACAAGCAAGGGGGATGGAGGCAAGAGTCCACTGCTGAAAAATTACCCTGACCAAAAACAGCACAAAGTAAAATCAGAGAAGAAAAGCCCCCAAGTCAGTAAGCTCCAGCCTAGTTCTTCCTTCTGATACTGTAAGCTTTCATTTTTGTGCTCCAGTGCAAAGAACAGCCCTCCAAACAAGAATCTGACAGACACTCTACAGCAACAGTAGCATCAGAAGTTGGTGCCATAAACAGAAGCTCAAGGGAATAGCACTATTAGCTAAAGACAGCAATGACTGGCCAGCTCCACAGGCAGAGCTCCAAAACACAGCATGTCTGTGTTCAGCTATTCTTTACCAAAACTTTTAATGTGAGTTACTGAAGCTGCCATATGACTTCAACATGCTCTGTCTCCTTACATGATGAAAAAAGACAGAGAAACATTATCTAGAAGACTTCTAGAAAAGAAAATAATTTGAGAGCTTCACAGTAACTGTGAGTAAAGATAGCATGACCAACAAATACATATTTAAAACTTTTAAACTGCATTTTTATGCCATTTCTGTGGTTATAGGGCATTAGATGACTACCATTATGTTCATTGCTGTGTAGTGGTGTAAGCTCATCAGTGATTCTCAGCAATTATTAAACTGAAGAACTGTTTCTTCAGTATTAAGATTATTTCTTCAGATCACAGCTGCCTTGTCTTCTTGCTTCTCAAGGAGAATGACAGCAGAGTGATGCCATTTCAGGTCAATTTATAATTAAAGATTTACAGAATCAAGGAGACGAGGAAAAAGATGGCATAACCTTTCCTTTGATGCTGCTTCACATATTTAAAAACTATGGAAAATAACTGAAAATAACATGTTACCAAGACAATCCACTTGACCAATACATACCAGAAGTGCTTCCAGAATACAATTCACTTCAACAGGACTTTACAAGATGTTATTGATTCTATTTCTACTATGAAGCAGGCTCTGCATATAAATCTATTTGACCCAATCCAGTTAAACATTGAGAAAATGGTCTAAAACACAGAGAAGAGGAACAATGAATAGGAATACTGGTTTAATTCTTAGTTATCATTGTTTAACCTCAAGGAGTACATTAAGATGCTTGGTTAATCCTTTGAGAATAAAAACATCAAAGCCTCCACATTTTGTGAATACAAAGGTTTTCTGATTACTAAATCTTCCATGATGTCAGATACCACTCAAAGATTAGCATGGAACAAAATAAAAGAGGCATGTACGACACACCAGTGTCTAACATAACACCATGCTAATACACACACTGTAAATCACTCTCACCATGCACTTTTACTGCACTCAGTGACACAGAATCACAGAATGGTTTGGGTTGGAAAGAATCTTCAGATTATCTAGTTCCAACCCCCCTGCTACGGGCAGGGACACCACACACTAGAACAGGTTACACCCAGCCTGGCCTTGAACACATGCCAGGGATGGAGCATTCACAACTTCTTTGGGCAACCTGTTCCAGTGTCTCACCATTCTTGCAGCAAAGAATTTCCTCCTTATATCCAACCTAAACCTCCCCTCTGTTTTAGTTTGAACCCATTACCCCTTGTCCAACCACCACAGTACCTGACATACAGTCCCTCTCCAGCATCCCTGTTGGTCTCTCCAGCATCCCTGTTGGTCCCTTCAGCTAGTAGAAGGCTGCTATGAGGTCTCCACGCAGCCTTCTCTTCTCCAGGCTGAACAGCCCCAACTTCCTCAGCCTGTCTTCATATAAGAGTTACTCTTTTGCTTTGTTTGGTTTTTTTTTTTCCTGATCATTTGTTATTTTTTCTGTTAAATGTATTACTTACAGTTTTTCTGAGGAGAGAAATGTGACTCAAAAAAATACCAACTTTAATTACCCAATATTTAAAGAAGGCAAAGAAAAATGAAAAGGGGTTTCCCTTGACACTCCTGCACTTCATAGAAAGTCTGCATTATCTTGAAACCCCAGTAATTGTTCTCGCCTACTGGGCCTGTACATTGGTGTTCCCATTGTTACTTCTCAACCAGAATATGAACTCATTTGAGAAGGTGCTATTTTCTTAGGATAAGCATTTAATTTCTGTCCATCCAACTACTGATTTTATTTGTTTTAAGAACAGATTTGTACTATTTTTCTAGATGCCAAGCCTACAGGTAGTACCATTTGAATAAAAGTACAGTTTGGAGATCTGTCTCATTGATAAAATGCTAACTGCAATAAGCAGATGGCAGAATAGAAAGATGGCAACAAACTCAGTGATAACTCCGTAAAAGAGTTAAACATACTAGACAGAGATTATCAAGCCAGCTTTGACACTTCCCTTTCTCTGTGCTGACAAAAGTAATTTCCAGTCTGCCACTAAAACAAGTGGAATATTTAGTTAAAAGGGAAAAATCAAGCCAAAATTCAGCTATGTAGGAGTACCCACGAAGGTGCCACATTTCTTTCTCTGGAGCTGGGGCAGCTAGGCCATAGGCTCTGAGGTGTCTTGTAGGTTCTGGCAGTGCAAGCTGGTGATACTGCTGCATGTACTGCCAGAGCCAGACGATTGTTTTTAGCCATGTTCTTTACTTCCAGACAAAGGGACTCAAGACTACTGTTGCATCATGGTGCTCTTGAAGGCTCCCTGTAATAGCTGTGTTATGTTTTACAGACTGATACCACGTTTGTAGAGATGGGAAAGGGGGTGGGGGGGAGAGGTGTGTGTGTAAAATAAAATAAATAATCACAGAGCAAGCTCAGTATCAGCAAATTACACAAATTCTTCAACTCTTGCTGTTCTACAGGAGAAATTCCAAACTACTCTAAGCTAGAGAAAAAGAGAATGGAGGTAATATTAAATTGCTGCACCACATGAGACAACATTTAGATGGAGCAAGAATGAAGTTTAGCACACATTTATTCTCAAAATTAGGTGCAAGAAAATGCAACTATGCATAAAGCAGATGTTATGAACCTCCACGCCTTAAGAAAACAGATGAATGGATATTACTGAATTAACAAAGCCAGTGCAGTAACTTCAGGATGTAATACAAAACAACAGTCCACCAACCAATGAGTAAAAGTGATACCTACAGAATTGTGGAGAGTGGTTCTTGACAACCCTGAAGTTGACAAGGTGAAGTATTAAGCCCTGAAGCAATCCAGTATACTGAACCAACCATATATACCACATTTATACCAAACGAAAGAAAGAAGATCAAATAAATTTCTAATACCATGTTCCTACCAGAAGGCACATGTTCCTACCACAAGAAGCAAGAACTATTTAATCAAGTTGTTAATTCTTGTTATTAATGCAGCTTTAAACAGAAAACAATTATGATCTAGGAAACTAACTTTTAAAAATGAAAAGGATCACATGAGAATTGTTGAGCAGTTTTATCTGGCAACTCCAGTGAGTAGGTCAGACCAGATCAGCATGACAGAGCGTACAATTAACACAGTAAAGAGACAGATGGAATTTCAGGAGTCTGTCCAGGCTAATGAATTTTGCATGAGCAGACTTAGCAAGCAGAAAAAGTAAAAGAAAATGATGTGAGGGAATGCCATTTAACTCTAACATCTCTCTGCCAAGCAATACTAGATGGAAGTGTTTTACAGAGGGTAACTTTTCTGAAATACCTACTCCTTTAAATAAACAATGTGACTTCCTTGCTGGATGGAATCACAGATGAACCCTTCCCCACCGCTCCATTAGTAAGCTGATACTGCTGGCCAGCATAAAGATAGCTTTTTACTATCATTACTCATCAAGAGATGAAACAGAGAGACACATGTAAAGCACCTGATGCATGTTGTAAACCAAGCAATTTTTATTCTTTAGTTAGCTAATAAGTTAAAAGAATGCTTTCTTTATAACTGTGTTCTATTTCTCTGTATTTTTTAGTTTCTTCTTCTCCCCAGTCAAAACCTAAATCTCACTTTCAAAGTTCTTTCTAGTTTCAGATTAGCCCAACTGGAATAAAAAAAACCCAAAAAACATACCACAACTGTAACCTGATGACAAAAACTAAATTGCCTTTCCAAAATAATAAAACAGAGGCAAAAAAAAGTTTTAAAAGTGTTACAGATTTCACTGACAATACAGATTTTTGTCTTTAAAAAACCAAAATACTAATGGGAATAAGGTTCCCCCATTTCTATTTTGTCAGTCAAGAAATGCATGCTTGGTAGTATCCTATATGGCCATGTCTGAAAATAGAGCTCTGCAGCTACTATTTTGAAACTATTAACCTGAACAATAACAATATTATATTCTGCCTTTGACTAAGGACAGCTATAAAAATAAAGACACTGGTTGAAAAAAGAGACCTACTCCAAGATACCAGGAAAAATAATCAATGCAACTTAAGATTTTTGGGTTTTTTAACTGAAGCACTTTAAATAATTCATTCTTTGTCTTAATGCAATCTGCAGCAGGTATTCAGGTGTTTGAAGGAAAGGTGTCTCATTCACTAACACCATCCACATTGCTAATGGTCACTTTCTCAAACTTACAAGAGTTACACATATAATGATCTTAAAGTTGTGTTCTCTGCCACCTTCTCAAACGCTCCTTCCAATACTTAAATGCTGAAACAAGTGTTTGAGCGTAATGCAACCATGGAATAAAAGTTAATAAAAGCCAAACAGCACATGCAGGTACAGTAAAATTGAATTAAACTTACAACCAGTGCAAACAGAAAACTTTGTTCCAGAATACTCTACATACTGCATTTGCATGTGATTATGCATGCTTGGTCTGAAAGCCAACAGCAGAAGGCTGGTCTACGAAGAACAGATTATGAAGAAAGCCATGCTACGAAGTCAGCACTGTAATGCAAGAACTTAATTTCAAACAAACGCTGCCACTGCCTTTGTTTCAAAGTCACTGTGAGAATCACCCTCCTCCATCTTCACTATTCTAACAAGCTTTATTTTTTCCTTTGAGGAAGAGTGCAAGCACACCATGGCAGACAGAATATGGTTCAAAATACACCAACAGTGGCAGGATGGTGGGAGGAGCAGCTTTGAGTAAGGGACATGACTGAGAAATAGTAGGAAGAAGAATCAGTGCTGCTCATTTCTACTCCCTGTGGCAAAACAAAGCATCGATTTTGCAGTCCTCGCTACACCCCCCTGGAAATGCTCCAAGGACTCTTACTGTATTCAGGACGAGCTCTATCAAAAGTCGGCCAACAACTGGCACAAGCAGTGAATGCTCTTCCCCACCACAGACCCTCCTCCATCACTCCCACTGAGGTCTGTGCAACTGCAGGTTTCTGCCATCAATTCATCTCCACACGCAGCTATGCAAGCACATATATATGTGCAGTGGCTTACTGCCTCACTCTAGTCAGCACATTAACTAGGAAAGCCAGAATCATGTTCATAGGAAACATCTACCAATGCATACAACTTGCTACTTTCTTTAAAACAGGTACATACAGACTCATGCTTAGGCCAGCTAAATCTCCTGTGTAAAACAGCATGCATAACTTACACGTAGAGAAGACCCAAAACTATTTTCCTATGCATCCACAGACCACTCCAACTGCTCAGAGACACTCCCCCAATATCTTAATATGCAGAGACAAAATTGGCAAATCACACTTGCTGATAAACCAAACCAGCTTAGCACGCATCTTATCCTGTAAAGTAACACTTTAATGCAGTCAGCGTGTATCATACATAGTACAGTCTACATTTAAACAGAACCTTCAGCTTCTCTTTACCCTTCGCTAAAAGCAAGACTGATTACATAGAAATACAAAGCGGGGCAAAAGTGCACTTTGTTACTATCAGACTGGGCAGTAAGATCATATTCACGTTTAGCACTTGCTTCAGAGTACTAAGCGCGATATGGCTGCTGTTGGTGATTATAACCTGCAAGTGAAGAGAGCAATGAACGGCTGTGCACCCATACAGGTGCTAACAGGTGACCTCTTACACCGTTACTAGCGGCCGGCATCGCAAGCGCCCTTGGGCAGCCCCGCTGCAGGCCCTGCATGACAATTCCCCAGGCTTCCTTCCACGAGCGGGTACCGGCACCAGCGCTCCGCGTCCCTCCCGGCCCTGCCCGGACACCTCCACCATGGTCCGCTTTTACCCGCACTGCCTCCTCCA